AAGGAAAATCGGAAGTGAGGTAATCCAGCTCAATGGACTCCAGAGTTGTAATAACAGGTGGGAAAACACAATGACTCTTCTTCGGAGATGTTACCCAGCAGGGTAATGAAACGTCTGCGGAACAACAAACCAGCTCGCCAAGCCAACCAACCACAACATTGGGGAATACGTTATAAACATTGTAATTGCAGAGCATTTCAAAATATATACTATTATCAACGAGCTAAGTATGACCTTCATGAAGGGGAAATCTTGCATGACAGATTTATTAGAATTCTTTGAAGAGGTAACAAGCAGAATAGACAAAGGGGAACCAGTAGATGTAATGTATTTGTATTTCCAAAGGATGTTCAATTAAGTAGCACACATAAGGCTACTTTGTAATTTGAGAGCCCATAGTGTTGTGATTAGAATATTAGCATGGATAGAGAATTCATTAACTAAAAGAAGACCAAGCGTATGATAAGTGGAGCATTTTCAGGTGGCAACCTGTGACTACTTGAGTGCCACAGGGACCAGCGCTGGGCCATAATTATCTATAATATATATCAAGGACTTCGATGAGGGCAGTGAATGTATTGTTGCCAAGTTTGCAGATGGTACTAAACAGTTGCGAAGGCAAATTTTGAGAATGACACAAAGTCTGCAGAGTAAGTGCATTGAAAAAAACATTGTAGATGGAATATAATGTAAAATATGAAGTTATGCACTTTGGCAAGAAGATCAAAGGAGTTGATTTTTAATTAATGAAGAAAGGCTGCAAAACCCGCAGCAGAGAGGGTTTTGGGGGTCCTTGTGCAAAAATCACAGAAAGCTAGTGCATAAGTTAAGGTAATATAGAAGGCAAATGGAACATTAGCCTTTATTTCAAAGGGAATAGACTATAAAAGTAGGCGGATTTTGCTAAAACTACACAAAGCACAAATCAGACCAGAGCTGGAATATCGTGAACAGTTTTGGATTCCTTATCTAAGGAAAGATATATCATCTTTGGAGGCAATCCAAAGAGGTTCAGAAAGGTTCCAAGCTTCAAAGGGTTCATGAGATTTACCAGGATATTGTTGGGAATGGAGGGTTTGAGTTAGAAAGAGAGGCTGGATAGGATGGGACTTCTTTCACTGGAATGTGGAAGGTTGAGAAGTGACCTTATAGGGATCTGTGAAATCATGAGGGGTATAGATAAGGTGAATGGCAGGTGTCTTTTCCCTAGGATGGGGAATTTCAAGACTAGGGAGCATATTTTTAAGATGAGAGGAGAAAGATTTAAAAAGACACGAGGGGCAATTTTTTTACACTGTGTGGTTCATGTGTGGAATGAACTTCCTGAGGAAGTAGTGGATGTGGGTACAGTTACAACATTTAAAAAGGCATTTGGGTAAGTATATGAATAAAACATGTTTGGAGGGATATAGGCCAAGCGCAGGCAGGTGGGACTAGTTGGACCAAAAGGTCTATTTCTGTGCTGTATGACTGTATGGCTCCAAGTTTCACCAGGTTGATCCTGTGTATGGAAGGCCTGTGCTTATTGGAGTTTAGAAGGATAAGGGATAACTTATTTGAAATATACACGGTTCTTAGAGGGTTTGATGAGGTAATTGCTGAGAGGTCATTTGCCATTGTATGAGAACCTAGGAGTAGAGGCATAATGTTGGAATTGCCCATTTAGGACAGAGATGAAAAAGAATTTCTTAGGGTTGTATATCTACGGAATTCTTTTATCACAGAGAATATTGAGGCTGGGTTGTTAAACAAGGATCGAACACTGAGGTAGAGAGGATTTTAATCAGTAAGGGAATCGAGGGTTATGGGGGAAAAGGCCTAGTAATGATCTCATTGTATGGTGGTATGCTAAATTACTTACTTCCCCTATGTTTCGTAGTCTAATGACTTTTTTTCATGAATGAGCTGAGATTGGAAGTTTGATTGAATAGGTAATCAATTGTAAATTTCCTTGTGACAGGGCCTTATTTAATGATCCAGAACATCATAACCCCTCACAAATGCCCTTCTGGAATTTACCCCCACTCTTCAGCTAAAAATTATTTTACTGTATAATTTGCTAAGTGTGTGAGGTGATAATGGGGCACCTGGAACCTTGGTGAATCATGCGAATATCAACCCGTCTCCCTGACCAATGAGATTTAAGGATTGAGAAAGAATTAAAGGGACAATGGAAAAGGATATTGGGTAAATGAGAACCAAGTCAGGCACATGGAGTGGAATTGAAAAATTAAATTGAGCGACATTAAAAAAAGAAATTGGCATCTTTAAAACCTATAACACAATTAACCTCTTCAAGGGAAGACTTCATGGTTTGACTTATTTCCTTTCTGGGCATGGAAGATTGAGATTCAGTAACTATTTTCACATAGTTGTGAAGATACTTTGCAGAATGTTAAATCTGAAAATTATCAGTGATTTTAATGAGCAGTAAATATGGAAACGCAGCTCATTATTAAAGTAATTAAAGGAAATCTAAGAGTAGGATGCCAACCGTGTGAAGTAGCGTAAATCAACCAACAAATTCTGGAGATTCACAATTCCTGATGTATCTCTTTGTCCCTTGAACCTGCCAGCCAATTTAAAGTGAATAAAGTCCTCAGCAAACCAATGGCTGTTCTCTCATGAGAGAGAGGCAACTGGCGATGTGTTTAACCTGAAGTTTACCATGCCACAGGTGAGAACGAGATTGAGAAAACAGGGCTTCAGGTGACTTCAGCTAAAATGGCAATTGAATCAGCACTGTCGGCACCACTCTGCATTGCAAACTAGCCATCAAACCAACTGAGCTAATCTACTCCAATTTGTTTATGAAGAACATTGGTCAGTTAACCATATTATTTTTACAGCTCAGTACTTTTACTTGACAACTGTCAATGTACGTTTCGAAGTGAGAATTAACAAATCATTTTAAGGATTGGTTAAGTTGGTTTTGAGAGTTTTTTCCTGTTCTCTTGTTGACTTTATAATGACCACAAATTAATAATTTATAATAGCTAGCCGTACATTGCAGAGATTCACACTGAGCATTTGGTTGTCAGCATTAACTGACTCAGTGAATTAGATTATAAACTCATGCTACCAAGTAATAGGGAAATTAGACAATTTCCCCACATTCCAGCAGTCAGAATTACAGAATTCTTACTGAGCAATCAGCACATTGTGTGTGCAATGGCTCTCCAGGTAAGCTACTCTGTTAGTGCCATTTTCTCACCTTGCAGTTCCCTTTTAAATGTTTCAATTCAGCCTGCCTGCACCACACTCTCAGGCACTGTATTCCAGACCTTAATTACGCACTACACAATAAAATATTTTGCCATTTATTTTAAATCTGCCCACTCTTGTGCTCAATATTATCGTAAGTGGAAGTTTTCTCAATCTGCTCTATACAGAGCCCTCATGATTTTGAGGTCTTCTGTCAAATCTGTTCCCGGCCATTTTTTTGCTGCAGGGAAAACAGATCCATCTATAAGTCATACCGCTCTGCCATGCATGATTTTGAAGTTGGCCACCCTTGTAAAGTAGTTTACATCTTCGGGAAAATGGAGAGAAAAACTAAGATGGGTTGTTTAGCTAATTTCAGTACAAAACAACCCTGGAAACAGATCATGTTTCTTTCCAGTCTGCCAAGGAGTGATGTGGATAGCATGAGTAGTTCTGTGTAAAGCTAACTGGCGTGACATTAAGACCTCAGTAAAACAGATTGTGATCATGGTTACTCTGCACTGTGTGCTACTGATACTTTTTGGCTGTTGGCCTTTTCATTCAAAGGGCAATTTGGAGCTGTGTGTATTTCAAAGATTTTCAAAGATGTTTTTCAGCATTCCATAAAGGTCATTTTATTAAGGAGAATTTCTAAGGAGATTAATGTAGAATGCTAGTTAGTGAATGAGCTAATTCTGACAATATAGCAAAGAAGAAAAATGATCTTAAAACATTTCGTTCATACATTTAATTTAATGAAGGATTTTAATATCAATAACTTGGATTTCTGGCTTCGCCACTGCATCATTTATTTTTGTATCCAATTCAGTTTTTTAGATGAGTTCCTTGCCACTGTATATTCTAAATTTTCTAATGCTTAAAAAGTTGCAAAACCTTTTAGGTTTGCAACAGTAGTGTGATATCCCACTTAACTTACTTTTCACTGTTAATGAGACTAGTCATTTTATAAAAAGTCATACCTAAATATTTTAAGTAAAAGCAGCTGTGTTTAATTAAAAAAAAAGTTTGACACCCTAAAGCTGAAGAAATTTCCTGTGTTTTTTTTTGTTTTGCAGCATTATGAATTCCTTGATAATTGTCCTATTCCTTTCTGGTATGGTTGCTATGATAATGCTTCGAACCTTGCATAAGGACATAGCAAGATACAATCAAATGGATTCAGCTGTGAGTGTTGTTTCTATGAGAAAATTGCTTGTTGGTTACACCACACCCTGACATACTTTGTGCAGTATGGACTCCACAACTTAGGAAAGATATTTTGGCTTTGGAGGAAATTGAACATCTATTTCCAGAAATTGTACCTGAGCTCAGAGGATAAAATTACAAGATATTACATATCTTCAGGTTTAATTCCAGAAGGTTAAGAGTTGATTTGACCTGAGTTTTCAAGGAATTGAGGGGAATTTATCAGGTGCATAGAGCAAAACTATTTCCACTAAGGAGACTAGGACTGAAGGACATAGTCTAAAACTTAGCTTTCAGAGTTTTCAGGAGTAAAATTAGGAAACATTATCACCTGTAAAGCAATTTGGAATTCAAATAACAATTGATGATGTTTTACTTTTAAAACTGGGTTCAAGAGATTTTTGTTATCCAAACGTATTGAAAATATGGGTAAAAATGGGTATATGGTGTTAGGTCACAGATCAGCCACATTCTCTTTGATTGGGGAAACAGACTTGAGAAATTAAATAGCCTTCTGTTCCTATATTTGCAGCACAAGGGGAATGAGACTCAATGTCATAAAGTATGGATGGGATGATTACCAGATGGTTTTCTTAAAGCATTTATCATATTTAGTTTTAAATAAATCAAATTGATCCAATTAACATTTTACAGGTTAGTTTTATGTTTTTTGTTAACATTTTGAGAAACATGCACAAGACCTGACTCAATTTATTTTGAATATTCATTTCAAAGTTCTGCATTTTGGTGCAGCTCCAGTGTTTAAACCAAAACTCTTATGAGTGGTGCAAATTCTTAAAGCCAATGAATTTACATTTTTGCTGAGTTTCAAGATCTTTGGGTTCTATCCAAAGAGGAAGAAGAACTCCTGGTTTCCTAGCTACAATTCAACACAACAGGATCATGCCAGCCAGCTCCTCTTCAACACGATCAAAGGGCAATAAGCATATTGCCTACCACCACCTATAAGTTCTCCACCCTCTAACTCTATCCCTTAAACAGTGCCATGGGACTTCCTTTAAAGGAATTGCGGTGATTCAAGAAGGAAGTTCTCCGGTATCTTCTCAAGGGCAAATGGGGGTTGAGTGATAAATGTCGATCTTGTGAGCAGTGCCTGTGTTCCTTGAATAAAAATAATTTTAAGTGTGTTAGGGTGGAAACGTGAAGATTTCCACAAACTTTGGATCACAGATTGTTTCTTCATTTCCTTCCTAAATGGAGAAGTTCTAATTTTGAGATTATTCTTCAGTTTAGTGGTTTCCTTGCCACTGAACTGAGTTTTCACGTATCTGGCCGGTTGAATCTCATTGAAGTATTTAAAAACAATAATGAGATCATCCCTCAATCTCAAAGTCAAAGGAAGTTCATGCAATCTGCCATTAAAATGTATCATTTTACACCCTTTTCTTTCTCTCTTCCCTTCTCCCTCCTGCTCTCACTTGCTGAGCCACTCTTTCACCAGTAATTACATATTATTAGTCAAGGTAATCCCCATCAGATCAGAATTCTTGCATCTTGATATTGGTTGGAGTTTTAGAAATCACACGCCTCTTCCTTCTGGCTGACTGTCAAGTTGCCATGAGAAACTTTCTTCAGCCATGGGTCTCTGTATAGATGCTGCTGTTCTTCAAATGAATCACCTGGTACAAATTAACATTCTTTTTCCTTCTCTGTAAAGTATTATTAATGTTTTGTTTTTCAGCTTAAATGTGATATTTCACAGGTATTTATACATCAAATTATTTTTAATTAGGCGATTATATTATATGAGTGATAATATATTCCAAAATCTTGTTTAATTTCTTCTAGGAAGAAGCCCAGGAAGAATTTGGATGGAAATTGGTACATGGTGATGTCTTTAGACCGCCTCGGAAAGGAATGATATTATCCGTTTTCCTGGGTTCTGGCACTCAAATCTTTATCATGATGTTTGTTACTCTATGTGGGTATACAGTCACTTTTTGAACTTAAAGTACCAATCAAATTACCATCAGTATGCAATCAGATAATTGAAAAGATTATAATTTAAGATAAGTCGAGTTTCATGTTGGTGGATTTTCATTATGCATCAATTTATCTTTGAATGTCTCAAATCAAATGTAAAATTTGTGAATCACTATAAACTATGAATATTTTAATTTTTATTCCTGTTTACATTTTCCCAAATGATAAACATTTAGGTGTGTTTTACTCCTATCACAAGAATATTCCTTATGATTTTTGTTGTTTAATTCCTCAGTTTTTGCATGCCTGGGATTTTTGTCACCTGCAAACAGAGGTTCTTTGATGACTTGTGCGGTTGTCTTGTGGGTGCTGCTTGGGACCCCAGCAGGCTATGTAGCTGCCAGATATTACAAATGTAAGTAAGAGAGATTTAAACTGACAGGATTTCTATTCATTAGTTTCAATTATCATCACCCTTTAGCAACTGAGCAACTTAATTATGCTTGGAGTAGCCTTTTAAGATCTAATTAAGTCACTACAACCTGCATCTTTGGTGAATATTGAAAAATATGCAGTAGAATATAATTATTCAGGGCAAAGGTGCTTAGTTGTGTTTTTTTTTAAGCTGACATCCAGTGTATTTATTTTCTGTTTTTGGTTGCTGTATTGCCTTGTACGTGCAAAATATTGCTCCCAGGTTATTGCCGGTGCTAGTGTTTGCAAGTATGAAGGAGCAACCTGTTTGATTTCTCCTGCTTCTGCTCGCATATTTCTCTTCCTTTCTATGAGTTGAACTCTACTTGGTGCCTCTTTGAGACAGCACATTTGAGATCAGAAACTCTGTATGTCCAGC